GCCATGTGGTTTGAGTCCTGGACCTGGCAATTTGCTTTCTCACTTTCCCTCTCTCTCACATTCTGTCCCTCTCTGGTAGAATTAAAATAAATAAGTAAATAAAATAAAGTTCAATAAATAATTTTTTAAAAAAGAACACAATAGAATGGTCCCAGAAATGCTTTGAGCACCTGAACTATGTTCCAGCCACATATTTTAACAAATGGTGAGTTAACTCTTCTAGCTTTGGAATCAGGCTCCTCTGGGTTCCAACCCAAGGGCTGTCAATTTTCAACTGTGTGGTGTTGAGAAATTCATTTATCCACTCTGAGCCCTGTCTCCTAATTGGTAAGATGAAAATAATAACAGTAGCTGACAGTTAAAGGATTCTTACTAAGTGCTGTGCCCCATGTTATGTATTAACTCTTAACTTTTTCAATTCTGGGAGGAATCCTTATTCCTATTTTATAGATGAGGAAGCTGAACCAGAGAGGTCATGTTAGGTCAAGTTGATTTAGCTAGTAAGAGTGGGCAGGCAGATCAGTTCCAGAGCCTTCTCACACTCCTAACCACTAAATTAAAAGTACCTACATTGTGCTTTGGCCACCCCTAGCTGTTAATCTTGCCCAGTCTGGAGAGAAGGGAGAGAATCCCTGGGCTAGATTACAGGAGACTGGGTATTAATAGTACCTTTTTTTCTGGCCTCCTCTAAACTCTAGAGTGAGTCACTTTCCTTCTCTGACCCTCATTTAACCCCTCTGTGAAATGGGTTTGGTAATCATAAGCCTGCCTGTCTTCCAGTGCTGTCAAGAGGCTCAAGTATTAGCTTTGGCATAAGAGTTCTAAAAACTGAGGAATATATCCAAGGGTGCACTGGGGTTCCTAAACAATACTCCTGGGTCAACTTGATTTTTCTGCCCCTTGCTACCCACAGGTTCTGCTGAATGTTCTGACCTTGAACAGAAACCTGAGTGACAGCCTGGCCCGTGGCCGCCTGCACCCGGACCTGCAGTCCAACCTCCTGCAGGTGGACAGTGAGTGCAGAGCAGAGACCCTCATGGGATGGGCACAAGGACAGGTGGAGAAAGGGGCTCCTACAGGTCCCCCTGCCTTGACCATCACCAACTCACTGGCAGTGATTTTTTTTTCCCCCCAACAAATTCCTTTTGGAGCAATGAAAAATCCTGAGATTAGAACCAATCTTCCTATTTCCTGGCTATTTAGCCTTGGGAAACCCATGTTTAAAATCTGAGCCTTGGTTTTCTCATTTGTAAAATAAGATACAGTTGGAGCCAGCAGGTGGTATGGTGGCTAAGGTGCTGGACTTCCACATGGCTGACTGCAGTTCAAGTCCCAGACCCAGCAGCTTGAAAACAACGCCAGGTGCATGTGTGTGCATGCCCAAAATTCTGAAAGAAGGATGAAGGAGAAGGGACTGTGGTGTGGCCATTCTTCCTGGGGGGGTGATTTCTCATTTTCTCTCTGTCTCTGTCTCCGGCAAGCCCATCTGCCCCATGGCAAAAAAAAAAAAAAAAAAAAGATACAGCCATTTATTCTACAAAGTTTCATGCATTCAAAAGTTTATATTGGGAACCAGCAGTTAGCGTAATGGCTATGTCACTGGACTCCCACGTAGTCGACCGCGGTTCGCGTCTCGGACCCGGTGGCTTAAATCTCACGCCGGGCGCGTGTGCGTGCGTGCCCAAGATCCCGAGAGGAGAATGGAGGAGAAGGGATTGCGGCGTGACCATCCCCCCTGGGGGGGTGATTTCTTGCTTTCTGTCTCTATGTCTCTGTCTGTCTGGCGAGCACATGCGCCCTATAGTGAAAACCTCTCCAAAAAAAAAAAAAGTTTATATTGAATACTTACTGTGTGCCAGGCATCATCCTAGATGCTGGGGATACTGCATTTATAGGCAGACAGAAAAATAAATAATCAAAGAAGTATAAGGTAACAAAATAAGTGCTCTGTGTGGCATTAAAGCAGGATAATGTAACAGTGCTGATTTGATGATCAGGAAAGGCTTCTCTTAAATGACATGTAAGCTGAGATCTAGATAATAAGAAAATGGAGACCAGTGGTTGGCATAATGGCTATGTCACTGGACTCCCATGTAGTCGACCGTGGTTCCAGTCCTGGACCCAGTGGCTTAAACTCATGCCAGGCACATGTGTGTGCATGCCCGAGATCCTGAGAGGAGAATAGAGGAGAAGGGATTGTGGTGTGGCCATCCTCCCTGGGGGGTGATTTCTTCCCTTCTGTCTCTCTGTCTCTCTCTGTCTCTCTGGTGAGCACAGGTATTCTATAACAAAAACCTCTCTTAAAAAAAAAAAAAAAAAGAAAGAAAGAAAAAAGAAACTCTCCAAAAAAATAAAAATGCCCACCAGGCAAAGAACTGGGACAGAGTTTTGTAGGTCAAGGGAACAAAGCAAGGAACTCAGGGCAGAAATAGACTTGGTGTATTTGAGGAATAAAAAGGAGACCAAGGTGAGGGAAGATGAGATCAGAGAGGCAGGCAGGGGCCAGATCATAGACTTTCTAGATTATGGTGAGGAGATAGACTTTCCTCTAAGAAAGACAGGGACTTAATTTTTTACACAACTTGATTTTGTTAACAGGAAAGTGTGCCTTTGAAGAATTTTTATTACAACAGATAATATACTATGCCAGTCCAAAGGAGATACAAAATTGATTAAGATATAATCCCAGGGCCAGCAGGTGGCATGGTGGTTGAAGAGGCACTGGACTTCCACATGGCCTACCACAGTTCAGGTGCAGGACCCAGCAGTCTGAAACTCACATCACAAACATGTGCTTGCATGCTCAGAGTCCCAGGAAGAGAATTGGAGAAAAGAGATTGTAGCATAGCCATCCCCCCAAGGGTGATTTCTCACTTTCTCTCTGTTTATCTCTCTATCGTGTGTGTGTGTGTGTGTGTGTGTGTGTGTGGGTATAGAGAGGAAGCCAAATTCCACATGGGTTTAAGTCCTACCCCCAGTGGCTTAAAAAACATATTGGGTACTCATGCACATGTGCACCCAGAATTCCGACAGAATGGAGACTGGAGGAAAAAGGATTGCAACATGACCAGTCCTATCTGAGGATAGCAAGGAATCCAGTGTGGCTGGAACAGAGTTAAACAAAGTAGAGAATGCAAGGAAATGAGGGGAGGAATCTAGAGAGGTAGTAAGGTCCCAGATGATGTTGGCCTTTAGAGACCTAGATAAGGACTTTAGGTTTTCTTCAAAGATCCGTCAAAGATGTTAGAGAGTTTTAAGCAAGGGAAATAACAAGGTCTGCTTAATTATTTATAAGGATCCCTTTGGCTGCTGTGGGAATAGTCTGTAAAGTCAGAACCGGAAACAGGGAGACCAGTTAGAGGACTATGCAGCAATCCTGGCAAGTAGTGATGGCAGTGTGGCATAGGCAGGTGGAGATGAGGCCCTCCCAGAGGTTGAAAATTCCTTATCTGATATGCTTGATACCAGAAATGTTTTGGACTTTGGAATATTCATGTTCTCTCTTTCTGTCACACTCTGTCTCTCTCTGGTGAGTGCACATGCCCTGTGGCAAAAACCTAAAAAGAAGAAAAAAAAAGGGAGAGCAGGTGGTGTAATGGTTACATCACTGGATTTTCATGCAATCAACCATGGTTTGAGTCCCAGACCTGGCGGCCTAAAACTCATGCCAGGCACATGTGTGTATATGCCCAAAATACTGAGAGGAGAAGAGGAGAAGGAATTGCAGTGTGACCATCCCCCCTGGGGGGTGATTCCTTGCTTTCTGTTTCCTCTCTTTTTCTCTGTCTCTCTGGCAAGTGCATGTGCCCTATAGCAAATATCTCTCTTTTTAAAAAATGACTATATTGGGACCAGCAGTTAGCGTAATGGCTATGTCGCTGAACTCCCATGTAGTTGACCGCGGTTCGCATCCTGGACCCAGTAGCTTAAAACTCACGCTGGGCGCGTGTGCGTGTGTGCCCAAGATCCTGAGAGGAGAATGGAGGAGAAGGGATTGCGGCATGGCCATCTCCCCTGGGGGGTTGATTTCTCACTTTCTGTCTCTCTGTCTGTCTGGCGAGTGCATGTGCCCTATAGCAAAAAAAACTCAAAAAAAAAAAATGACTATATTACCAATCACTTACAGTATGAAAAGCTCTGAGCTCAGTGCTTCCTGTGTGTTCTCTTCTTTAAAATGGGCAAACACTTCATGTAGTGGGTTCTTGTATAATCCCAATTTTATACGTGAGGAGATTGAGGCTCAGAAAGATAAAGCAACTTGCGCAGGATCGTAACTCCTCGGGGTGGGACAGCCAGGACCAGTACTCAGGACTAACTGTAGGACTCCTAAGCCAGTGCTGTGAACAATCTGAGTGTGTGTATGTCGGGGGTGGTTTTCAGGTGAGTTCACAGAGGAAGAGATTGAGTTTCTGGAAGCCAGGGGTCATCATGTGGAGAAGGTCGATGTCTTATCCTGGGTCCATGGCAGCCGGAGAACCAACAACTTCATCATCGGTGTGAAAGATCCTCGGAGCCCTGACGCAGCTGGAGCCACCATCCTGTAGAGCAGCTGGGTGGGACGGGGTCTCTGCTCCCCACCTTTGCATGTTCCCAGAGTCCCTCCTTCTCCCAGGTTTGGTCTCTGGGGAACCCCAGGGATGCTACAGATCAGGGGCCAGGGGGATGCTTAGCAAACCCTATTGCAGAGTAAGGGGGAAATTCTTATCAGGAGACCTGTGGTGGTGGTGTTAGAGTAAGTGTCACTACCCACAACCAGGCAGGCAGGACCTTGAGGAGTTCGACTCTCTGTCTGCTCTCCTCCTTCAGCCATGCTGGTCCTGAGCTTAGGGATGTGCTTGCAAACCCTCCTCTAGGGTTTCACAACCCCAACATCTCCAGACAGGCCTGACCTGGGCCTTGTCTTCCACTCCCTTCTCCTGTCCCCAGCCTCATTTCTTAAATGACTAGGATTTTTTTTTTAATGGACCACCATGGGGAGAGCGTGCTCTT